GATAGATAGATAGATAGATAGATAGATAGATAGATAGATAGATAGATAGATCTAACTCACCGTCCAGCTGTTGTCTGTGGAAACTCCCCTCTGTACACGAATGATGTACTCCTGTTAACAGAGAAAAACAATGATGGCTGAATCAAAAGCAGCAAACATACATTACAACAAGTAATAACAAAGACCCTGTTGAAAAAACTGGTTTAGCTGGTCTTCAGTCCCCCAAATCACCTTTAAAATCACTAAACTAGTCCAGCCTGACTAGTGGAAACCAGCCTAAACAAGCCCATAATTCGTTTTTTTCTTCTTCACAATATTTGGCATTCAAGAGATCAAAGTCATGTTGTCAGGGATTTGTGGTTTTTACAGCAGAATTGTGAAGCAAGACCAAAGCAGGAAGTGAAAAGCCAAATGTAACAGAGTCTACCTCGCGCTGACCCGATGCTTAAGACCAATTCTTATTCACATTAATGTTTGACCCTCCTTCAAAATGTCACCTGATAGTTTCCATAAGACTAAAACAAGAGCAAATGCGATCTGTTTCCATCCGCAGCACTATTTCACATCACATCCGTTCTGTGGTTGATTATTTTCACACTCCTCATATCTTAATATACATCAACATTTTGACTTTCAGCTTACAAAATAACATTAAACATACATAACTGATCATATAAATGATGATTAAGGTCTAGTTGTTCATCCACCCTGAATCTACTCTACTCTAAAATGAAAAGAAAACATTTAACAGGTTGTAAAGTTTATATCACATAGAACTAAAGGCGGTTTACTAGATTGCACTTTCATATGAATGACTATGAGAAACGAATAGATGAATAAATGAGAAAGGAAACACTCGTATGTATTGTGGCTTCGGTTTCACAGCAAGAGGAAATGTCTTTCGGCACAAATGCAAATGATAAATGGTCAATTCCGCCTGTAAATCCACAAGAACAGATCCAGACTGGTTTACATGTCACATGAGATCTAGCTACAGTATATGAGATCGTTTTTTTTTTTTTAATGCTTGTATGATGTTTACGTTAACTAAACCGATAGATAAATTTAAATTAACAAAGTAATATTTACATATCATTTATTTTAAAGTCGATTATGCTCATTATATCATAAACAAATATTAATATAAAACGTCTTAAAGAATTTCAAACACCGTTTCTTCATCACTTCATTCACATTTTATATTTGTTTGCTAAATCTTAAAATTAATGTATAAAATAAATGTTTAAATATTTAGTTGCCAATATTTCTAAATTCAGGATGTTGCTACATTTACAATTTTTTACATTTTATTTCACTAAATATTGACACTTCACAAAATGTACACTAATTGTTCCATTATCGACTACTGACATTAACATTAAATAACTAAACAAAAACTCATCTTATACCGACACTAAATGGGATTAATCTAAAATTAATCGACAAATAATCGAGAAACAATAAGGTTAAACGTCAAAAAACGACATACAATGTAAAGTTTGAATTTAAATCGCTTTATAACCTAATCTACAGACATTCAAACGCATATTTATAACCGATTTTAAAGGTGTAACGGATCCAGATCGGTCTATTCGACACCGTCTCCGCGCGAACATAAACAGCGATCCGCGCGGCTCAGGTTTGAGCCGTTTACCGTGTGTGACTGTAAACTCTGGCTGGCCTCGATCACGGTGATCAGCGGCACGGTGTCGTCCAGCGGCGGCTTCCTGCCGGACATCGGCTGCGGCTGCTGCTCCATGAACGCCATCCCGGATTAAAACGCCACCAAACCGCCCCGGTTCCACAGGGTTCGGTAACCGAGAGCCCGTCCCGGTCGGTGAAGGATTCACGGTTCACTGCGCGTCTGTGCTTGTGACAACGTGGGAGAAACGAATCAGAAACTGCCAGTGAAAATGGACGTAGATGCTTTAGCGGAGAGGAGCTCGTCCACTCTGTAGTGCGCACACTCGAGAGAACGCGAGTGACGCCGCAGTTTCGTAAGACTACAAATGTTATCTTTCGGGACTGTTTATGTATTTAAGAATATAAGTGTAAAATTATTTACATTTGTATTTAGTGATTTTAATGTGTTGTTCTTGCAAAAGAAATTAGAGAAAAAAAGAAGTGAGTGACGCCATGTTTTAGTAAATACCTTCAAACAGGAAACCTTCATAGGGCTCACGGCTAAATGCAATCATGTTATTTCTTGTGGGGCTTGGAATAAAATGAAACTTCACAAAGTGTCAAACAAACCACTTTCGACTTCGTTTCTGTGCCTGCTGTTATGCATTTTCGTTTGGAGTTTGTAACACAAGCGTCGCATCTTGGCGAAGCTGCTAGCAGTGAAGCTAAATGTTGTCAAGGGAAAACCATGTGACCAGTCGGAGTAACACGTGACTCAATGTAAACAATGTTCTAGTTTCTATATTTTATAACACATTTTCTTGGCAAAGCAAATATTAGCGCATAGAACATCAGAAATGCATGTATTTATTTACACATAATGTACAAACATAAAGCAAAGCCAAATATTAAAACAAAGGAAAAAGTATTATAGTTCAGTAATTAATATAGTTTAGTATAATACAGTTCATCGACAAGCATTATGTAAATACCACATGTAAATCTACACACACACACATACATTTCTTCAACTAACCAAAAGAGAAAGCAAGCGAAAAATTTAAGGACCGAGGACAACGGTTATTTGATCTTGGTTAAAGATCTTGTGGAGAAAGCTATATTGGAAGAAGTTTGCTGGTTAATTTCATGTAATTTTACCACTATTATGTTAACCTTACAATTTTTTATTACTGTTTTAAGTAACATAAAATGATGTCTTTGTTGAGGTTGGACACAGCTAGTTATTGCCCACACCAAAGAACTAAGCCAAAGGGCGGTTTATTTTCTCACACTATTTTTTTATTCAAACAACTTCTCAGAGAACAAAAAACAAGAAATATTAAATCTCTGAGTGAGTGTTACATTTCAAAAGAACAAAAATAAGCAAGAAAAAACATTTAATTCCTGGCAGCACATAAAAAACTGAACGGCAGCATTCACTCAAGTTTCTCATGATTGTTGTGCGTCTTGCGGCATCATGACCATGACCTCTCCCTCCATGACCACTTTGTCTTTGGCAGCGCAGGAAACAGAAATAAAAGCAAAGGACATTTTGATCTTTTTGACCTCCGCTTCCGCCACAACCTCCTCTCCGATGTAGAGGGGCGCCGGAAAGCGTATTTCCTGGTAGAGAAACACGCAGCCTTTGCCGGGCAACTTCGTCCCCAGAATTGCTGAGATCAGACCGTTAATCAGCACTCCGTGGACAATGGGGGTCTCAAAAGAGGTTGTTTTGGTGTATTCGGGGTCGAGGTGGAGAGGATTCGTGTCCCCCGTCAGCTCAGCAAAAAGTGCGACATCTCTGGCACTGAATGTTTTGCTAAGCGAGGCCCGTTCACCCACGTAAAGCGACCTGCGCCCTACTGTGAGGGATGTGGGAACCGTCAATGCTGAGTTGACAAAATGGTATATATTTCTGCTGAAAATACTTCTTCTTAGAAAAAACATTTTTTTCCAATGTATTTTTTTTGTAGGCCCACCTCACCAAATCAACTGGTCTCCAAACCGCAGCTCACGGCTATTCCCAGACAACGCTAGTAAAAATGGCGACACCTGCAATGATAAATAAAAAGAAATATGAGTTGCATTCAACACAGATGTCTGTGACATCTATTAGAAGTTCATTACGGTTTAGTATCTAAAACGAGATAAACAGCCGCCACAGTAACCGCTCATCAGCAATCTGACACAAATTGCAAAGTACACACAGTTTGGCTGATGGAATGCCAATGGTCACATTAAAATTGTGTCTAGTCATTCCTGGCAGATCTCCAATTGATCCACAAGCTTTTTACTGACATCTAGTGCCAACAGACTGCAAACTCAGGGCACAGTAAATGTTGAATCCGCTTCAACACTGGGGAAAACGTACCTGCGTGACTCTGAATGCACACGCCTCATTCTGATATGATCCCAGTAATGTTAATGCGCTCCACAATTTCACCAGCCCGCTGAGATTAAGACACAACAGAATATTTATACAGAACATCATTTGATTGACAAAATGGGTTGGACAAATCCATAAGTGTTTATTAATTTCAGAAAAAACTGTTTGCGCTGCATTTAAGACATTAATTACTACAGATTTTTTGCAATTAAAACGGTCCTAAACTTGAGCCCTGAGGGACACTCCAAGTTTCTCCGTGTTTATAAACAGCTATGTACCTCAAGTAAATCATGTTTAAACTCTTTGGCCTAAATGTACAAGATCTGTTCTACGAACATGTCTTACCTGTTGTTCACTCTCAGTATGCCTGTCAATTCATTCTCATCAAACTTCAGCAAATCAAACGGAAAAGAAGCTCCAACCTGCCATACAGAAAAAACATTTTTTTTGACACCATCAGGAATCGGGATAACGTCAAAACAAATGACTCACTACAGCTCATATTATATACAACACAGAAAATGGTCTATGGACTGTAAAATTAATTTTTTGTTTAATTATTTTATTAATTTTTAAAGTTATTTATATTTTTATTATACAAAAAACTTGATCATTAAACTATTTCATTTAAAATTAAAATGTAATTTATTAATTAGATCATTTAAGTCATTTTTTTTATTATTTTACATTTATTATTCATAATTATGATTACATATAATTATTTTACATTTTGGCATCATTTATGATTAAATGAACAATTCTCAATGTATTATGCTTATTCAAAATCTATTTTTGGACTTTTTCCCCAGCAGTTAAGTTGTGCCTTCTACATATTATATAAAAAAATAATTAATTCAATTGTAGCAAACTAAATCAACATGAATCCTAATATTTCAAATTTCATGATGCATTGCATTATTTTGTAAAGAACCATAACTGCATCATTACACTCAAATTGTAAACAAAGAGAGATGTACTATGTGCTCACCTCTCCGTACAGGTCTTTGAGTCCACAGATAATCAATTGTTTGAACTGTGCATCAGTAATATATTTGTTTCCATTCTCCAAAACTCTAAAAATAAAGGCAAAAAAAATTGAGGGTTTGAACATTTTATGTGCACCATCTAAAATTGCATTAAAATGACCAGATCAAAGCTGACCTGTCTCATGACACTTACAGAGATATCTTCATATAATGGTAAACTGAAGCATTTTTGTACACATATTGCTCAAATTTGGAGGGTTCCTCCATAGTTTGACACTGAAATCTTTTCAGATGGTCTGCGAGTATGCCTAAATGAAGAAAGATAAAACCCTGTTTATTCAGATAAATTTGCAGTGCTAATTACTACAAGAATATGTAAATGCATACAAGAGCCGAGTTCCATATTCAATACGAATATAGTAACCATTCAGTAACAAGGTATATGACAAAGCAACATGGTATAACCATCTAACACAATCACTGTATCATGGTACTGCCACAGTATTCTTTATAATGGTGAATCAGTAGAGTAATTAATTAATACATTTATGGAAGATCGGTGTCTTCCAGCTCACGTGTCAGTTCTGTATTAGCTATGAACTCCAAAAAGACTTATATTAAAGAGTCTCCAGCCGCTATGTAAAACAACATGCTGCATTTAAATATTAAATTAAACAACTAACTGTTCAGAGGTCAGAAAACAGATGAACGTACAGAATTACAGGTCGTGCTTGTCCTTTACTCACACAGCATGCGCAGCGCCATGCTCCCTCTTGTCTTGTCAAATCTCGCGAGAACACCTCAATAAAAGTCAATAAAAAAAATAAAACAACAACAACAGGGAAATTAAGTGATGACGGGCAATAACCCCC